GGGGTGAGGGGTTTGGGGGGTGGGTGAGCGGGGCCACGGTAACCGCTCTCCTCTCGTTCCGCTTGCAGGAGGCGGGACGGGCCGGCGGGGCCGAGGCGTCAGGTAGGGTCTGCGTGAGGCGCGGCGCGGGGCTTCAACCGCAAAATTAATCTAATTCATAAAGCACAGCCTTTAGGTACGCTCCAGGGCGTGCATGAAAGCTGACCGAGTTAACTTTCTGCGCGGTTTTTGTTGCGGTTCCAGCTGACATCGCGTGTGTTGTCCTTGCGGGCTGGAGTTTGCTAATCGCACTGCTTATCTCTGCATGCAAATTGCTTATTTGTGCAGATGAGGGTGACACACAGGTGAGGACTGAAGGCGCAGACTAGGAAAGGACTCTGGCATATTACTGTTATCGTTCGTTTTCTGATTTAGCTGTGTTCCTTATTGTTTTAAACTAGTAGGTCGAGATGTCGTGCAGAGTCATGAATACGTCAGGACAGACGCTTTTGCAGAAGTGCAGGTTTCTAAGGCACTTCCCTCCAGAGGAGGGATGTCCTCGACATCTCTTGTTCGACAGCACAGTTTTTGGATGAGGGTAGTGTTTTCATGTGTGGGAGGACGCACTAGCAGCGGTTCACACAGAATGGCTATGTACTAGCATCACTTTTGACATGATGCCTGAGGCTTTTTTGATCTTAAAGGGTGCTTCTGTAACCACATTCAACGTATGGTTTGAAAAAAAGAAACGTATGTAAGTCTGTGATTCTGGCAGTGGCAAATGAAACTAAATTCAAGCAGTGTTAGCTCCTGTGTCTACAAGAGTGTGACCTTTTTCATCCTGAAGCACACAGTAACCGAGAAATCATTGTCATTTACCTCTAGTCAGTGAACCCCAGGTGTTTCCTCCCAGCTGCCAGAGTAAGGAGGCTCCTGTGTGCACTCAGCAGGAGAAGACAGGTAAGCATGCCACCTACCAAGCAAAGACCAGTATATTATTGCTTTCTTGGCTTTTGTTGACCTTTATGCTGCAGTAGTGCCCTGGTCACCTGAGTGGCTTGTGGTGTTTGCCTAATGTAGGGTAGAAATCATAATCTCAGGCTAAAATAGATAAAATATATGTTTTCCTTTGTATGAGTCCCTTTAAGAAACTCCTCACTTCACCAGCTGCCTCAGACAGGTCAGTTCCTTAGGGAGAACATGTACTGGATGCTGAGCTTGGTGTTCTGGGTAAGCCTGTCCCTACCCAGACCTTCCCAGTGGCCACCAGCCCCACTGGAACAACCTGTGGTAGAGCACGAGTAGCCGTGTACCCCGGGTACACCTGAGCTCCCATGGCAGCCAGCACATGTGGACTCATGGCGAACCACAGCAATGAAGATGTGCATAGACAGAAGAGTGATGGTTCCCCTCATCGTGGATTTGGGAAGAAGCTTTCACAGCCATTACTTCTGCTGTCCTTGCCTGGTGATGAGTGGAAGACACTTTTTCTTCACCTGTTGATGAAGAACTCATGCAAGTGATACGCTCAGCTTGTTGGGGATTTAAAGGTTGTTGTAGGAAAAAAACCAACCAACCAAACACCTGAATTACTGTTTATTTACTGTTTGTTTAATTACTGTTCTTTTCCCTGATCTTATCTATGATCTGAACAAAAAGTGATGTGAAAGCTTGGAAGACAAGCTTGGTTTTTTCCCCCTTAACTCTTCCCTAAGGCATTAGAATGTGATTTTTCATTTCAGAATCACGTGAGAAATTGGAAGCAGAAAAAGCAACCCCTATGAAATCTGTCATAGTAGTAACCACTGCCTCTGGGGAGGAAATAGATGATGATTTTTTGGAAATGTACTTTGAAAATAAAAAGAAATCTGGTGGAGGGGCCATCTTGTCCTGCGTCAGAGTGGGTCAGGAAATGATCATCACCTTTGAGGATGAGAAAGGTATAATTTTTTCTTACAGGCTTTTTATGACTAAAGCTCCCCTTTTAAAAAGTAGGCCTTTGCTGGTGATGAATCTCTTTGTGGGCATTGCTCCATCAGAAATGGCATATTATTCCCAAAGAGTGACGGGAGGTAAAAGGAGCAAATGTGCCTGTCTATCCAGTGCAGATGTGGGTTCTGACAGTGTTTATAATAACCCACAGGGAATGAAGTGGCTCTCTAGACCTGTCCCACATGCTTGATCGAGGCTCACAGAGACTAGTGCAGGAGAAATGATGTCAGGAGCACTACAGAATAAATAAGCTTTAGCTCTAGTTCAGGAGACTGGATAGTACAGTATTAACTGCAGATCATGGGTTAATATTATTTTGTTTTATTTTCTTTCACATTGAATTTAATTGCCAGGGTTTTGGAGACTGGGAGGAAAAGAGGTAGTAACTATTATGTGTTTGTAAGACAGAGGTGTGTGCTCACCTCTGTGGAGAAAATTATTTTAAAGTAGCCTCAATTTATCTGTAGTTTTCCTATGGTTTCCTCTACACTAACATGTTTTTGGCTACTTGTTAGTGTATGAAGGATGTATGCAAAAATAGGAAACTGTTTATGCAGGAGAAATAGTTAAATACAGTTAAATGTTTCACATAGTCAAATATAGTTAATAGTTAAATATTTATTAAATACACAAGGTGAGTAGGATGGAAAATCCTTTCTTTGCTGTTTATTAGGTGTTCCTAATCTGGAGGACAGCTTCTAGCACTTGAGGACAGTAGAGATGAGGTAGAACTTACTTTAAAAAGTAACTTCTTTTTTTGTTGTTTTTCCCTTTGAGGAAACTGGGGACATCTAGATCTTAGAGCAGCTTTAACCTGACCCTAACTTTTGATGTAGTTTTTGCCTTATTCCTGTTTCCTCTGTGATATGAGGAAATAAGTCTGACCAGATTTGTAAAGTAGAGTGTAATTTAACATGTTGCTCTGCTGTGGTGGGAGGGAAAGGGCAGATCACATCTTTGCTTGTTTTCCTATGGAACCAGATGCCCAAGAAGTTTTGCAAAGGAAGCATCACTCGGTGAAGAAAATTGATCTGTTTGTGAAGCCCTGGCAAGTGGAGGACTCTCAAGGATCCCTGCCTTCCAACGTAGTTGTGCTTGAAAATGTGCAGGAGACAGTGAAAGACTGCATGTTAATTATGCTGGTAGAGAACATTAGTGGCTTGTCAGAGGATGATGGCGATTTCAGTGTGGAAATGATACCTGAAATATGTGCTGCTGCTGTTACTTTTACAGGAAATACTGGTAAGGAGGAGTCAGAGTTGCAGATCTTTTTCATTAGCTACTTGTGTGTGAGGGAGACTATGCAGGAAATGAATGTTTTCTGTCATAGGTTTAATGTTTCATCTAATATTGTGTCATTTTTAAATGAACGCTTACTCTACTGAAGTTAATTATGTGCCTTTTATCTGTAAAGGTATAGAGTCAAGTGTAAGTCAGAAGAGGACTAGCTCTGATTTGGATAGTAACTAGAACAGGTAGAACTAAAAACAAACTGTAAATTTATACAAGCAACCAGAGGATGTACTTGATCTTGGAACAGATTAATGATAAAGGTTCCCCTTGCCAAAAGGTGTTACATGTGTAGTAAGTTTATGGATTTGAGGGAAAACTGAATAAGTACATGGAACAATGCTTTTTAAGGTTGTTAAATAGACTGCATCAGGCTTGGGAAATCTATTGTAATAGGTTGGAGGCCAGGAGATGTCTAGGGAAGCAGCATCTTCTTACAGCTGTTCTCTAGATACCTGCTGTGGCCATTGCTGGAGGCAGGATACTGGGCTGGGTGGACCATACTGGGTTGGGTGGGCCTGGGGTGCTGAGGCAAGTCTAGGTGTCCTTACGCAGAGTGGCAGCTGTCAGGTGAAGCGTGGCATGGACGCCGTGTGCTTTGCCTGGTGCTGCAGTACCGACTCATTTTTTTAGCTGCTGTGTGCCCCTGTGTAGAAAAATTGTAAATCTCTTTAGAAGTGGAGCATGGTGAAAACAAGTTCTATGCCACTTTGAGTCAAATCTGTGGGAATAGTTGTATTATTGGTAATATGTGAGAATGAAGTTGCTTAGAAATCTTAAAGTTGTGAAGGGATTAGTCTGTAGTATAACTAAACCAAATAAGCTTTTAGTCTTGGAGAAGGCATAGGGTTTTCTGGTTTAGAATTCAGAAATTATTTACCTCTCATAATGTGGTTCAGTCACAAATTTTTGATGTAGCCTTTAGGAAATGAGTAAATCCTTTAAAAAATTAATTGTATCTTTGTCTCACAGCCATAGAAGTGCCTTGACTGTCTTTTACTATGGTGATAATGGAGGGGTGGGGTGGAATGTATTTATCATACAAATGAAAGAATCCAGATTTGAACTGTTGACATCTGTCTAATTAGTTATGTATAAAGTCATACCCCAAAAACGAAAGTGATTTTACTTTGTTTTGGGGTTAAAGAGACCCAGTGCTACTCAGTAGAAAAACTAGTGGCAAATTCTGGCTACAGTAGTTGTAGTCAACAATTGCGGCCAACCATGTGGTAAATACTATGTGACAGATACTGAATATGTGGAAAGAAGTAGTTTTGTGGGCACCTCCAAGTTGATAGATGCTTTATAATTCAGTGTTTTGGTCAATGCACACAGCAGTAGTCTGCTAACATTGTAGTAGAAAAGCGAGCTACTAGTTAGATCCTGTGGTTTATTTTTATTTACTTCTCCCTTCTCTTTCTAGATGCAGGGGAATTTGCTAAAAAGCTTAATCAAAACCACAGAGCAAAGCAACAAAATATTACTGCACGGTGCCTTGAACCAACAAGAAGTGTTAGGGCTGAAAATATACCACCTAACACACCCAGTGACTATATAACCGTTTACTTTGAAAACAAGAAGAATGGAGGTGCACAAGTGGTGGATGTTCAGCAGCTGCCCAGTGAAGATGCAGCTATCATTACATTCAATGACTATAAAGGTAACACAGAAACATGAAGCCTTTATTTCTCTGAGATCCTTTCACTTAAAGATTAAAATGTGGATTTTTCTAGAGGACTTACTTTGCCTTCATAAAACAGCAGATCTGATGCTTTGTCAGCAGATCTCTGCTAACAGGAGCGCAAGCTTAAGTTTTGGGCTAGCTGAGGAAGAGGCAAAGAATTTTTTCCTCTTTATGCACTGTGTATTTCACCTAGAGCCTTGATCCTTACAGAGTTTGGTTGTGAGTTACAGTGCAAGCTCAATAGAGAAAGCACAGCTCCACGTAATGCAGGACACTTCTTCCTCTCCCTGCCTTCCTCAGCAGCTGCCCCATGGCCGTGTGTGCTGGCTGGCTCTGCTAAAGACAATTTCTTGGGCAACTTTTTGGCTGTAGAGCAGGTGCTGTGGCTCTTCCAGCCAGTGACAGAATCATAAGCATCTGTGGAAGGAGGAGGACAAAGAGACAACCACAAGCATTGCAGCAAAGGGGAGAGCTGAAGGGAAGTTGAAGAAAATAGATGCTCTTTTTGGGAAGAAATGGAGGAGCCATGATTTGATACGGCTGCGTAGCAGCCCAGACAACTACTGAGTTGGGCAGTTGAAGTGCAGCGTATAAAAGAAGACGGGGCAGAGACAGTGCTGTGCATGCCTCCTCCTGGAGGTGGACGGTGTTGGTTCTTACCTGGCTCTCTCCAGTTTCTGACATCTGAAACCAGTAACTCTTCAATAACTTGGAATTATGTATCTGGGAAGGAGGGAAAACTAGTGTAAAACTACTCTATAACAAACATTATTATGTAGAAAACAAAAACGTAAAAAAAATAATTCAGAATATCTTTGTTTTTAAGTGGTAGCATTAATTATTTGGGGTTTTTTGTTTGTTCATTGTAGATGTAACCAGTATCTTGGCAAAGCAGCATTCACTCAACAAAACACCAATCTATGTCTATCCTTACTATGTCTCACTGGGAACAGCTCTGTATGGAAAGGAAGGGCCACAAATAAAGCAGCCAGATCCAATTACAGTGCCTCTGGATCCATATATCTGGCGATACTTGCAGATAAATAATAGGCTAACTGAGGCAATAAGTTGTGAAATGGCAAAATGTAATTGTGAGCTGACATGGCCTGGACCCCAGTGTGCAGACCCAGAAGTTACCTTGCGTCCTTCAGTTGCTTTGTCCGAGCAGAAGAGATTGGTGTCTCGGTTGATCAAGACATGGAATGAAAATGTTTCCACAGCGTTTGCACTTAGTTTGTCAAATTACAAAGCAATTCAATGTCGAGTAAGTGCAGAGGTGTGGGAAGCCATTAGAAACAGCTTTATCCCCGATGAAGTTCTGATAATCCGTGGTATTTCCACGGATTTACTTGTTCTAGTAGGTGAAAAGAAAGTTGTGGAGAATGCTGAACCAGAACTGAGGTTTCTGATAGAAAAGGCCAGCAGAGAAATTGAAAGAGAAAAGCAAAGAACTGAAGAGGTGATGGTAATAGGTGCAGGGGAATATGCAATTTTACAGAGTACTGGTCTTGAAGAAAAAATTCACACAGAGTTCCCAGCCCTGCAGGTATCTTACGATCATTTGCAGACGATCATTCATCTGTGTGGAGTGCCTGAGGAAGTCTATAAAGTAAAAGGGGAAATACTAGATAATATACGGAAAATAACAAAGAAAACAGTTAGTGTCCACCCTTATATTTACCAGTTTTTAGAGCATATTGACAATGAAACCCTGTCACAGAGCCTGTTTATGTCAAAACAAATTAATGCCTTTTATGAGCTTGACGCAGAAGCTATCATCTTGAAAGGGAGTGGTCCTGAAGATCTCCTAAAAGCAGAAGAAGAAATAAAGAAGGAACTGGGCTACAAAAGCATTGCTTTGGAGGATGAGTCAGTCCTCCAGAAGAAGGAATGGTGCATGCTCACCGATCAAAACTGTTCTAATGAAGCCGTAACGGTCACTCAGGCAGAGGGTCAGGTCATCATTGCTGGCTGTTCTCAAGCAGTAGCAAAAACCTTTGAGGAGCTCTCTAACTTTATAGATGAAAACACGCAAGTACAAAAGGTCATAGATGGAAAGCCCAAGGTGGTCATACTCTTTTTTGAGAAAGAGAAGACCAATGTTTGGGGTGACTTACAGAATAAAGGTGTGAAAGTTGACTTTAGCACACAGAACAGATGTAGAGTCATATCTTTGAGTGGGTCGAGAAGAGAAGTGCTGAAAGGAGCCGTCTTAGTTGAGCAGATTCTGTCTGGCCTGCATTATAAGCGTGTGGTCATCAGAGAGCCAGGAGCCAAGTCGTATTTCAAAGAGCGAGAACCTTTTTTTGCCGCCAGCGCGAAACAAGATTTTAATTGCCTGGTCAGGCTGGAAGAGCAGTCGGAAGGACAGCAAGAACAGAGAAATACACGCACACTCTATAGGCCGGTGACCATAGGTGGAACTGTAATAACCATTTATGAAGGTGACTTGTGCGCTCATCCTGTTGACGTTGTGGTAAATGCATCTAATGAAAACTTAAAACACACCAGTGGCCTTGCTGAGGCACTATTAAAAGCGGCTGGACCAGAGCTGCAACAGGAGTGTGACGAACTGGTGAGGAAGAACGGGAAATTGCAGCCGGGGTGTGCAGTGATCACCAGTGCTGGGAAACTCCCCTGCAAGAACATCATCCATGCTGTTGGGCCCAGGTGGGCGAAGAATGAAGCAGAAAAGTGTGTGTTCTTGTTAAAAAAGACGGTGAAGAAAAGTCTACAACTAGCCGAAACATACAATCATCGTTCTATAGCTCTGCCTGCTATAAGTGGAGGGATTTTTGGCTTCCCGCTGCAGACGTGTGCAGATTCAATTGTATCCTCCATCAAGGAGACCCTGGAGGAATCCATGGGACACAGCAGCTTGAAGGAGGTTCATCTTGTGGATATTGCACAGAATAACACTTTGGCTTTCAGCAAGGCACTGAGAAAAACATTTTCGGGTTATTCACCTTTTAGCAGTTCACCACTCCAGACGAGTACAGTTCATCAGCCTAGGAAAAGCATAATTTCTCAAAATAGCAAGAACTTCCCATTGGTAACAACTGAGGAAGGCCTTTATATCATGGTGGAAAAAGGAACTATTGAAGATGCCACAGTAAGTGTTTTCAATTATTTGCTTTTAAAAATATCAAGGGGGGTTTTTTGAAGTTTTGTTGTTGTTGTTGTTGTTAATCATTTGTTTTAAACACAAAACCAAAGAACAGCCAACTCTAGTCCATCATCTGTACTTAGCAGTGTAACATGTTTGATATGTTACTGAAACTGGCTGTCACTGCTGATAATAATTGCTGTTAAGACGACTGTCTTACAAAATAGATACAGATGGCTGTGCAGCATGGCATTTTGTCATCTGCTGACAGAGGCACACATATCCCTGCAGTGCACAGTGCATTCCAGTTTAGCAGAAGCAACTGGGGCAACAGGAATGGTTCTGGGCTCTGAACCACCCTGATCATCCCTTGCTGGGCAGGTACCACCTTCATGCACCATTGACCTCCCCAGAAATCCTGATTACAAGAGCGTGGTACTAGCCCAAAAGCTCAGTGTTGGTTAACACAAGTACCCTGCCACATGTGATGGGTTTCCAGAGCCACCGTGGTCGTAAGGCAGCACAGCCCTGTGTGTCTGAGCCTTGGGCCCACTGCCAGTCTCCTTCTCCCTGCGCCTGTAGGATATTGGTCTGAGGAACCATCATCCGTTACGCCACTGATGAACACTGGTGTGCAGTTGCTATTGCGTTTCCTGTAGAGAAACAACTTCAGTTATTGATTTCCAGTTGCCACCAGTATTGAATGGCTGTTAGGTGACTGGCAGGTACTGGGATTACTGATGCTGGAAGCCTTTCCATAGTGGCCAGCAAATCTTTTCGGGAGCGGATGCCTCCCACAGGTTGTACGTGCAGCTCCTCCAGTTGGCGAGGGCAGAAATGTGTATAGAGAGGTCTTTCCTGAGCAGCTGAATATAGTGCTTGACACAATGTTCACAGCCCTTTGTATTTCTCTCCCTTATAAGTTGTTGCCTTTCTCACTTCTTCCTCCATAGCTTTTCTCCAGTCTTGTTTTCAGCTTCTCCTTTTTCTCTAGACCAGTCACGTATGGAAGGTCTTACCTCCGTGAACACAATTTTTGGTCTGCAGGCTTCTCTTAGAGAATGAACTTCATAAACATTTTTTAAATGGAGCTAGAATGAGTAGACCAGGAATACAGAATTTTAACTCTCTCCTGTTGCTTTGAAATGAATTTCACTGTTAACTCTGCTTTTGTGTTGCTACAGGTTGTATTAGCACAGAGTATAACTTTTCTGGTTTATTCCAAAACTTTGTCCACTCCGATTGCTGTCCTAAACATTTACTTTGTAAATCAGCAGCCAGGCTGTATTTGATTAATTACTGCAAAATTTAAAGTTGACACTTAAAAGACTTGATACTTAAAAGCTAGGTTTTTTTGCTTGTGTGTTTTTCAGACAGACGTCGTTGTCATCAGTGTCCCCAAAGATCTCCAGCTTGATAAAGGGCCACTCTCTAAAGCTTTACTAAGCAAAGCAGGGCCAATGCTTCAGATGGGCTTAAAAGAAGAAGGCCTAGGAAAAACACTCGAGGAAGGATCTGTGTTGAAAACGAGAGGTTACAATCTAGGTTGCAGAGTTGTGCTTCATGCTGTCTTACCTGCATGGTCCCAGAAACAAATATCTTCAAAGGTATAAGGGGTTTTATTTGCCTGAACTCTATTTGGACTGGGCTTTATAGTGGGTTTAATGCAACTTCCCCTTTGAAATGGGGGACAGTTTTGTAGGAGATCAGAGAGTTTGGGCTGTTTCTTTTTTAGCAGTGTGGCTAATCCCTTGTTGGCCAAGATATTCCTTGTGATGTATGCAATTATTGTATTTTAATACCAAGAGATAGCTAAAAGGGAAAGTGCTACATTGCACATACTGGAAAAACTTACTTTTGATAATTGGAAAAATAATTGTGCTTTACAGGTCTTGAATGATGTCATCACAAAATGCCTGCAGATTGCTGAGGAACTGTCTTTAAAGTCAATTACTTTCCCAGCGATTGGGACGGGGATTTTAGGATTCCCAAGGTCTTTTGTTGCTAAATTACTGTTTGACAAAGTGTTTGAATTCAGTAGTACAAACAGAGTAAATTCTCTTGAGGAAGTTCACTTTCTGTTGCATCCAAAAGACACTGCTAATATTCAGGTGAGTTACCATGTTTTTCTGTCTCTATTACATGGGGGTTTATTTGGGTCTATCTCATGATACTTGGCTATCTGCTGGTCTCCGAAGAACGCACAGGGTCCTTGTTCTTATATGAAACAAGAAGTTTGCTGACAGTCTCTCTTGTCTGTATTGAAAGTTTTCTTTTTGGTTCTACCCCTACTGATCACCTGCCTGTGCTGCACAGCCCTGCTCCCTTCCTGGCCTTTTCTGTTCCCTGGCAATAATACAAATGAAAGAGTAATTGCTCTTTATCTCATGAACTCACCTAATTCTTCAGTGCATAGGACTTGCCTGCAGATAAATTTGCTGCAATTCCTGCATAGATGTCATTACTCTTTGAAGAAGGAGTGCATTCAATGGAGTGCTAATATCTTTTAAGAAGAATACTTATGCTAGAATTGCTGTGCTGGTAAACTTCTCCATTAGAAAAAGTATCAGTAGTCCGCATCCCCTTTTCTTCAGTGTCACATTAGCACAAGTTTTCTCTATTCACGCTCAAGTTACTCATTTCACACATGAATCTCTCAAAAGAGAGCAGTCACCCTGTGAATTAATGTCCAGATAACTGTTTCTGCATCTGTTGACTTCTGCTATTTTGGGCAGTAGCTAATATGTTTTGAAAGGCCAGACTTGAAGGCTGCTGCACCAAAGCCTGAGCTGTTGTGCATGGAGAAGGGTGGCGTTAGCTGCAGGACTCAAGTTAAAGTGTGAACTAGCTCCTCACTGAAAGGATGCCATCTGTTAATGTATCCCTCTGGAATGGTAGCCAGGGCTTCAACTTCGTTATTTGTCAGTTCTGCCTGTTGCTGCACCGAATAACCTTGCTCACTGAGAACAATGGTGTGTCAAGACTTGCCATGAGCATTATGGCAGATGGGATGAAGTCATTTGCATTAAACTCTTTCTAAATTTTTTTTAACTTTTACTTTTCAAACCTCTGTTTCTACTGTGCAATTTAAAGACTTCTACAGGGTTTGATTGTAATTTCCTTCTCTAGGTGTTTTCAGATGAACTTGAGAACAGATGTGGAAATACTGTAGATGTTAAAGTACAGGAGACTTCTCTGAATAAGGCTAGCCAAGGCACAGGTAAGCTTGTTTCGCAGAGGCTGTGTGCCTACTGCCTTTTTTATTCTTTTAAATACCCCAGAGAGTGCATTCATCATGGATGTTTAGATATATTTTTGGTGAGCATGTCATTCTCAAAATCCTAAAGTGGCTGCTGTAAAGGCATCATACGGTATTTTCAGGCTGGGTGTCTGTAATGTCTGAACCAGTGCTGGAGATGCTAAGAAAAACCTGTACCTGTGATTCATTATCTGGATAGTGCCCTTACAAATCTGGACAGCAGAAGCTGTCATGTGCTGAGGGGACAAGTAGGGCTCTTTTTTTATTGCTGCAGTACTTGATTAGATTGTGAACAGGTCGGTGTCTTCCTATATCCTGAGAAGGCAGGTAAGTTCCTGGTTGTGTGTCTTTAAAAGGCCTCTTTGGAATACTCTTGAATCTTTTACGTGTTCAGATGAATAGCAAAACCAAACTGAAGTATCATTGGTGTTACTAAGCCTATTGGAACTGCAGAGTATAGAAAATTAGTTACACGTTGAAAACTTAATCAGATTTTTTGTAGAAGTAGCACATAGGTCATGCAGTAGAGAACCTGCCTGAAAACTCTTGTGAGGCAGAAGCAAGGGAATGAGACGTGGAAAGTTTGCTGCTTTCTTACTTTAGAGTTTCACAGAGACTTATATGGCAAAATGTCAGAAAGTAGTGTCTGTATACCAGGTGTGCACCAAATGCTGTCTCAGCATGAATAGCAATGATGGGAATAGGTGACGATTGATCACAGACCCCTATGAGAAGGAATGATTTTCAGTTGTGCTGCTTTTGGCTGGGATAATTTCCTTCATAGTAGCTGGTATGAGGCTATGTTTTCGATTTGTGCTGAGGATGATGGTGATAACACACTGATGTTTTAGTTGTGCCAAGTGATGCTTAGATTAAGCCAAGGACTTCTTCAGTTTCTCATACTGCCCCTGCCCTTCCAGCCTCTCTTCTACAAGGAGCTGGAAGGAGACACAGCCAGGACAGCTGACCAAACTGGCCAAAGGGATATTCTGTACTATAAGACATCATGCTCAGTATAAAATCTAGGGGAAGTTGGACCAGGGGGTAGATGTGAGCACTACTTGGAGACTGGCTGGATGTTTGTCAGCAGGTGGCGAGTGGTTGCGTCACTTGTTTTTCTTGGGTTTTGGTTCTCTTTTTTAAATTGTTTTTCTTTTCATTACATGTTGTTAGTAGTAGTAGTAGTAGTATTTTATTTCAATCATTAAACTGTTCTTATCTCAACCCATGAGTTTTCATACCTTTTTCTTCAGATTCTCGTCTGCATCCCACTGCAGGGGTGGAATGAGTGAGAAGCTGTGTGGTGCTGGGGGTAAATAACAATATCAGTTAACATGGCAGGCAGTTCTCCTTCCAGGCTGAGTCTGGAGCCATGCTGTGGTCTCTGTAGGCGTTGTACCTATGAACAAGTCCCTTATCTCTCACCTCATGGCTTCCTTCTGCTCAGGTTCTGTATTTCTTTCCCGCAGCTTTCTCTGGTACCTCTTCAGCCCCAGCACAGAACGCACATGAAGTGACAATCGGCTCCGTTGTGTTCCAAGTGGCGGAAGGCGATATTACCAAGGAACAGGGAGATGTCATTGTAAACATAACAAACCAAACCTTCAGCCTCAAAAGAGGTATTTTAATTGGTGTTATGTGTGAAAACAGTATGCGTGGTTGGGATAAGGAGAGTCGGAAGCATGTTTTTTCTATGTTTCAAACCCTTTTGTTTCACAGTGCAGTTTCTGTTTTGCTTCTTGAGGTACAAGGGTTCAACTAGGAAGTAGCTGAAACTTTCCTTTTAATCTGTGTTACAGGATGGCATGTTTAAGACTCTTGCAGAAAGGGAAACCAGTTGTTTTTTGTTTTTAAATAGAATCTTTTTATAGAACTTCTCTTGAACTTTCTTCTCAACGAGGAAAAGACAAACATCAATGAAGTTTTGACCTCAGTGAAACTTGTTAGGTACTTTAGACATCACTTTGAATTGAAAAGCATAAGCCTAAAATTTAGGCAACAGTGCTTTTCAATTAAAACCTTTTCTGTTATCAGGGTTGAAATATTTTACATCTGTGGTACACAGTTCTGCCTCAGATGGGACTTGAACGGTATTAACAGTAGTAACAGTGGATTTGTATGCCTCTTCTCCTTTAAGGTGTCTCTAGAGCAATTCTGAGTGGTGCTGGAAAAGCAGTGGAAGATGAATGTACTCAACTAGGTATGGTACAACATTTCTGACCTTCTGAAGGCGTTCATGCATGGCATGGAATCTGTTGGAATACTTTCTCAGTGCCTACTGTACGTCCATCTGTATTGTGCACTGTGTTACATCAACTAGTTTTTAATCGGTTAATGTGATATTTGTAAAACATCTAATGAGGGAAGGAAAAGAAAAATCTTCAAGAAGAGAGGGTTTCTATGCATATGTAAAGAACTAAATGATTCATTGTTGCATCCTCTCATTCCAATAAAGCTTTCAATGATAAAAGCAAATTTAGTCTACAACAGAGCCATAAGCAAGTAATGGTGTTGGCAGGAATTTTAATAGAGAGGCCATACCTCGCTGGAAGCAAATGTCTACCTGCAATTCCCTTTGTCATTGCTAAGTGCAAAAATGTTTGCTATGGGCTTAACTAGCAACCCACTGCTGTGTCCTCTGTGTGAGCAAGAGGGAAAACTAGTGAAGATGGGCTCCTGCCTCAGAACAGACATTTGTAGACCAAATTCAACTAGTGAACAACAAATATAGTGAATTGGGAGTAAGGATGGGAAAGTATGTGGTTAAAAACCCCACAAAATGAGGGAAATGGGAAAAGTGGTGATGTGGAGGTCAGCTTGGAAGACCAACCAAAGGAAAAGAATTATGTGGAGGAAATAAGAGGTAGACCTCTTGCGCAGGCCAGGAGAGTGATTTGGGCTAGGCAGCCTGAGGGTAGACCGTGTGTTCACGTGTGCATGAAGTTCTTCAAGTCTGCAGACAAAGGCCCACAAAATTTATTTGCCAAATGAGACCTATATTTTACAAACAAAAAGAATTATGCCTTGAAAGTGAAAATAAAGAGGAGGTTGCGCAGTTCATGGAAGGAGACTTGAAGCTTAACCTGGGACATGTTTGTCACCATCTCCTATCTCCTAATGAGGATTAGTACACATCTATATTGTGGATAATTGTTGGTTGATTACATTCTCCTACTTAATGTTTCAGCCTCACAACGTAGCAAGAATTATATCACCACCCAAGCAGGAAGCCTGCCATGCAAAAAAATAATTCATTTTATTGCCCAAGATGATATCAAGATGCTAGTCTCCGAAGTGCTTCAGGAGTGTGAACTGCAGCAGTACACCTCTGTCACCTTCCCAGCAATTGGAACAGGTCTGTGTCTCCCTTTTGCCATGGGTTCAGTGTATGTGATTCTGCTGATTTAAGGGCTTAAGCAATGAGTTGTATTTATTTGGAAGAGTGATTTTTATTTTTTTTTGGTGAAAATATATTCAGAAACTACAGACTTTAAAACTGTTATTAGAAGCTTATGAAGACCTAGAAAGCTTCACTCCTTGCAGCCAACTAGTATGTAAAGAGTATGAGTGCTCTAGAGCCAATGCTTCCTTGCTAACAGGTATTCAAAGGTATGTCTACACTTCCTGGAGAACCATAAATATGTGTCACAGTGACCCGAAATATGTGGGCAGCTCATCGGAGAATTTCCAGGGAGCTGTTTCTCCGTTGCTGAAATCAGTAGATGATGCGGCTCTGGCTTGCAGCCGCACAAGTAGGCTTGATGCAGATTGAATGTGAACCTGTCAAAAAGGCCACATTGTCCCTCTTTCTTCTCTTGTTATTTTCAGTTAGTTCAGTAGAAATCCATGGAGTCTGAAAATACAAAACTGGGCCCTGTGCACGAAGGGTCCCCTTGCATGAATAGAACTAGACTTGCTTTTTGAACAAAGAGTTGGCTACTGGGCCATTGAGCATCAGGCCTGTGGCCTATTAGTTAATCAAGCCGTATCATCTGCATCATAACCTGATCAGTTGCCATGTCAACAAAAGTGAACTTCTGTTTTTCCCTTGCGGGAAGGGTGGTCTTGAGCCTTCGTTTCTTGAGAAATAGAAAACTTTCCGAATTGCCAGCCTGAAGTTATTTCTGACCTGTTTATGATCCAGGTGACTGTGGCTATGTTCATAACTGTTCTTTTAAAAATGTTTTAACCATTTGTAACAGCTATTAATGTTTTTTAAAGGCAAAATGCTTATAACTTGTTTCAGGTGAGGCAGGTCGGGATCCAGCTGTAGTAGCTGACAACATCATACAGGCAGTAACTGACTTTGCAAGAAATAACTCTGCTCCATCTGTGAAAACTGTTAAAGTTGTCATCTTTCAGCCACATCTGCTGAGTGTGTTCCTTACAAGCATGCAGAAAAGAGAAAGTCGGGCTAAAACAGCAGCCAAATCGTTGTTTTCCAAGTTAACATGTAAGTAGATGTCACTTAAATACAGGTTATAGATAAATCCCTTTAGCACCAGCTGGCAATGATTAATACTAAATACAACACTTGTGTGTTTCAATGTAGCACTCTGGGGCTCTGAGAAACGTTCCCCAAAGGAAGAAAAAAAAGCAGTTTTGGAGAAGAAAATCGATATGACTGTTTTGCAAATTTGTGGTGAAAACAAAAAGAAAGTGGAAGAAGCTGAATCATGGTTGAAAAATGCAATTTTAAAGGAACAGAATCAAGCAGAAATCACAGACGAGTCTATCTTGCATTTCGGCGATGTGGAAATTGAGGAACTGCATGACCTAGAAATGAGATTAAAAATTGCTCTTTATTTGGATAATAGCAGTATTCGAATTTCAGGTGTTGCAAAAGATGTCTGGATTGCTTATGCAGCTGTTCAACAAATGATCCACAGGGTAAAAGCTGCTAAGCAGGAAGAGGTGAGGGCAGAACTTTTGCAAAACTTAGTTGAGTGGAAATATTTTGAAAAGGATTCCTATGTGCCCTTCGATAGTCTCACAAATATGCACTTGGAAAGTGCTTTTGCGAGAAAGGAGAAAGATACTTCAGTCACCATTAATGGGAAAAAATACACAGTGAATATGGGCGCCAGATACGCTGTGGATAACCAAGGAAAACGTACATCCATTAGACGTGTTGATAAATCTGAAGGTAAGTAAAAGCATCTCGACAAACTGACGTTTCCATGTTAAAACTAGGTTGCATCCAGCCTACTAAGAGTAAGAAATGGTAAGAATATGCAAAGTATTGTTAGGTGATTTGTGCAGGTCCATTTCCAGAGAATATAGAAAGGAACTGAACCGGGAAACAGAAAAATAAAAGGATCCTGCAGTTGTTTAAACTTTTTTGAAACGTAGGTAATGTGTTCTGAGGTTCTTAGCAGGCTCACTAGCAATACTTAAATGTTTGTAGCAGTTGTCATTCTAGATCTCGGCTCTTTCCTGTTCTTGAGATGTACCCTCTTTCATTTACTTCTAATCCTTTACAGTATAAGGAGCTACCTTTTCCTTACTCATCCATACAGGACTTCTCCTAATGTATTCTTTTTCTTTGTCTTGGTGTGACTCAGTTTTACAGGGACCCATTTTATATCTTAATGGGAACAACCTTTTTGTCCACTTAAACCTGTCCACTTTCAAGAGTTAAGGAACTGTGCAGCTCCCAGTGCCTTAGCAATGCCTCCTGCAGATATTTTCAGACTTGCGGTTTTTTGTTCTGTTACCAAAAATGTTACTTCTGATTGAGGGAAACTATATAATGCTGGATGTCTGTAGCATATGCATCAGTGTTAGTGTTCAATACAGCCAGATACTAAGCCTTGCATGAAATGAGAGAAGGGAAGAAAGGGAAGACTTCTGCTTCTCAGATGGAGAGTATATTCTTGAGCTCTTTAATTTAAAACCTTCCTTGCTCAGATGCTTTGCTCTTAGTAGTTAATTCTCATTAGGAGACTCAGTAAAGCTGCATTTGCTCCATGTCTTTGGAAACGTGATTTGCAGGGAAGGCTGCTGGTAAAAGATGTTGCAAAGGATCCCTCTTCAGCTGTGAAGAATCGATTTGTCTAGGAACTACCAATTCAGGCACATCAGCAACACAAGTTGAAACTACAATGCCTTAATCCCTTGGTACAAGACCCATAGAATATTCTTGGCTGGCAAAGACCTGTAGGCACTACAATAAGCTAGATGTATGGGCTTTTAGCAGGCTTTGTATCAGAGGATTTGGGTAAATATGATTGTGTTTATTCTGCAGATCAAGAGTCAACAGTGCTCCCTGCAACGTGGGAAGATATGCAAAACCAGCGACTCAAAATAGTGGAACTAAAACCAGAAACAGGAGAATATAGAGATGTGCAGGAAAGGTTTCTGAAGACTTGTCCATCATTAAAAATTGAAAAGGTGAATGCATGTCATCATTTCTGAGCATAAGTACTTCGATAGCAAATGATGAAAAATACTAATAACAATGGAAAAATTAATTTCACTGGGATTAACAAAAGTTGGACACTTCTTTATGGTTGTCATTAACTTTCTCAGCATCAGTTTAATGTTGCAGATGGGGTATTTAGAACAATTCTTAAGCAGTTGCTTTTTCAGTGCCAAGGGAGAGTGCTCCATCTTTAAATCAGTCTTGCTATAGCAGAGCACAGCATTTGCTCACTTAAGCCATGTGTGCTTTGCAGGTAGACAGGTCACCTCCGCCCCACAAACCTGCAAAGCTGTCCTATATTGTTTCCCATGGAGTGTTTCTGTCATGTTTTGGGCTGGGTTCAGCTGTCCGTCATGCCAAAGTTTGAAGTGATTTGACTAACTTATTCCATACTCTGCTATACATGCACTGGTGTGGAGAGGAGAGTCTTCAAAGCAGATTGAATTTTTGGTACAGTAATGCTTTTCATGACAGCAACCTACTTTTCTTTCTTTCTGTCTTACTTTCAATCTTTGCAGATTGAAAGGGTACAGAACCCGTATTTTTGGAAGGCCTACCAAATAAAAAAGCGTGAAATGGATAATAAAAATGGCAACAGAAATAATGAGAGGCTTCTGTTTCATGGGACAAGTAAGGAGTCGTTAACCTTAATTAACAACAGGGGATTTAACCGGAGCTATGCTGGAATACACGGTAATGTGAATTTCAAAACAACTCTTGTTTTCCTGAATAGGGCTAGAACTGATCAGCTATGCCATCTGAATAGTCCTACCTTGTAGGCAAAATTATTTGTTTTGTTAAATTTCCCTATTGCGTATAAAAAGCAAAATTGTGAAGAGATTCACGGGTTCTGAAGGTGGCAGATAAGTGATTGCTGCTACTGAAACACTTACAAATGTTTGTGTTTTCTGACTACAGCTGCAAACTTTGGAAATGGAACGTACTTTGCCGTTAACGCAAAGTATTCTGCCAGCGATGTCTACTCTAAACCGGATGCGAATGGGAAGAAGTACATGTACTTGGCTCGAGTCCTTGTTGGAGAATATTCTCAGGGGACAAAAGGATCCATTACTCCAGCAGCAAAAAACGCCAGTAACTCTGTCGATTTGTTTGATAGTTCAACTGATGATGTCAGCAATCCATCCATGTTCATCATATTCAATGACATTCAAGCTTACCCAGAATACCTTATCACTTTCACTAGATAAGCATCTGCCTTGCAGTCAAGATTGAATGTCCTTCAGCCTTTGTGTAGGACAGAACCACTTGTAGCAAAATACACAATGAAAACAATAAATAGTTTTATCAAACTGTTTTCTTAAGGCCTGGTTACATGTAAGCAACCTCTGGCAATTTTTGGTAGTACTAAACTAGACTGCTTGTTTACACTCAGAGTAGCTGAGCATAGTTAACACTTGAGCTCAATCTTCTACTGAAGACTGCTGTTAAATTACATCTCAAGCCTTTATACAGTGTATTAGCTTTTGCAGCCTTACGGCTATCCTACTTGGGGTGGGGAGTGTTGGCAGGGGCTTGGAAGGGATCTTCTTTCAGCCACTGACCGCTCGATGTTGTATGTTGATGGCTTTTTTACACATTCTAAATGACAATCTGAATCATGAACTATGCTACAATGGTTTTCAATAAATGAACTAAATGTAATGAATGGTTTGTGTTTGTCTAAACCTCTTTGAACATTTAGTATTGGTTTTCAACCAATCAACTCTAACATACTTGACATCTCAAATATGGATTTGCTTGTCTTTAAGACAATAACCCCTGGCAGGTTAATAAGATGTTCTACAGAAGGTTATAGAAATTGCCTGAGTTAGGCTATATGTAGCCTAAGGGAGACAGGAAAGCAAATTTTGAGGTGTTTTTGTTGTGATATTCCAGCTGCAGTAGTCTTCCTGTGATCTGTGAAATTAAAAGAGCCGGATGGTTGGGGGGTGTTTGCTAAGTTTCAATGATTAAAAGAAAATCTTCCGCTGCTTGCTTTACCTAGTTTGTTAGATTGCTCTTCAAAGTTCTTCCATGGTTGGATGTGTCCATATGAGCAATAATCAGGATAAACATTGCTGAGGGTTATGTTTTTTAGGGAAGGAGGTGTGAAGTAGTGCAAACCCGCAAGTATCTTAGGAGAATTTTAACCATCAGGCTGTGCAACAGTGCTGGAACTGCTCCTTTTGGGCTTTGTTTTTGATTATGTCAGTTTTCTAAGTGCAGAAAAATGCTGATGCTTGAAGTCCTAGTGCTTGAAATCAAGACACAGGTGTGGGAGACCCAAAATCTTCAGGTTTTGCTTTTAAAATAGCTAGACTTAGTTGATCTCTGTAGCAAATACACAGTGTCACTGGTCCACCAGCGTGACAGGAGCCAGAGATGACTGCACAAGGTGCTTCACTGCAGCTGATGGGTCACTTGTACCACTCTGGACTTTCCAGGAGACAGTAATGTATCTCTTCTCAGCTTCTCCATCACCACAAGAAGCTGTGGAGAACACCAAAGTGTTCTTTCATCAGTGCTTGCATTACAGGCGCCATGGGCATCAAGCACAGAGTAGCACTGGGCTCTGTGCAAGTGATGAGTAAAAGATCTGGGTCTCCAAATGAGTTTATGATAATCAAAAGGCAAGGGTGTTGTCCAAAAAGTGGATTTGTTGCTGAGTGTGCAATGAACCAATTCTCACACACTCAGGAGAGATACTGCGTTTTATTCAGGCCTGGGTGCTCAGTGGATTTCCACAAATAGAGAAACAACTAATGCCAGTTTTCTTGTAATATTTATACACAAAAGTTGTAAGAATAAACACTCACAGTTACAATGATTGGTTCGTAATGTACATATGATTATAATATTTGCTGATTCATTCCTGGATCAAACTGTGCCTGTACAGGGTGAGGGTCTTCACCAGGGCAGGGGTCTTTTTGATCCATGGGTAGATATTTTAAAATACTGAAGTCAGTTTTCCAAAGGACTCTTAATTTTCTAGTTTACATATGAAGTGTGAGATTAAATGAGGAACAACTTAATTAAGTCCATTCTTTCAAGAAACACTATGATCATGTCCATGTTTACATGTCCTGAGGTCATTCAGCACACAGACTTTCTCAGTGCTAGTTCTTCTTTCATCTGGCTTCAGAAGGCAAATCTGCATTATTTGCTAGCAGATGGGTTATTCATTAATATAGAATCATAGAAGGTTTGGGTTGGAAGGGACCGTAAAGATCATCTGGTGCAAACCCCCTGCCATGGGCAGAAACCCCCCCCCCCAGCCCAGGCTGCCCAAAGCCCCATCCAACCTGGCCCTGAACACTTCCAGGGAGGGGGCATCCACAGCTTCCCTGGGCAACCTGTGCCAGTGTCTCATCACCCTCACAGTAAAGAATTTCTTCCTAACATCCAGCCTAAATCTACCCTCTTCCAGTTTAAAGCCATTACCCCTTGTCCTTTCACTGCTTGCCCTGGTAAAAAGTCCCTGCCCAGCTTTTCCTGTAGGACCCCTTCAGGTACTGGAAGGCTGCAAGGTTGGAAAAGACCTCTAAGATCATCAAGTCCAATGGTCAACCTAACACCACTATGCCCACTAAGCCATGTCCTGAAAGTGTCACGTCTACGTGTTTTTTGAGCACCTCCAGGGATGATGACTCCACCACTTCCCTGGCAACCTGTTCCAATGCTTGACCACTCTTCCAGTTTCTTTTCCTAACATCCAACACGCTTACATCCTAGTGGTTAGGATACAGATTCAGAACTAAAGCTATAGCTACAAGTGGGGAGGCAGAAGAGTTCAAGGAGACCTTATTCCTCCAGCAGTGCCATGGGCTTCCAGCTCCCAGGACAGGCAGGGAGAAGACGCTTTATAACTTGAAGGGAGTGCCTGAGGCACCTTTTGGTGTTTTAGGAAATTCTGGCAGGGAAAGGTGCCTCAGGGTCCAGGAGTGAAGCGGGGACCGGCGGGTCGGGAGAGCGGGCCGCCAGG